AAAATTAGAAGAGAAGTTGAAATAACGAAAGCAGATACGGCAAGGAAGAAAATACTTACGTGTAAAGTTCCATTTCTCAGGAAAAGGAATATTTTATTCACCCACCAAATCGATTGTGGGAACAGCAACAAACCGGGTGTACCAGCCACGGTCGTTATTATCTTCAGGGTTAACCAAAACCTTCTTACTTCTTGCAGATAAGGTNTGTTTGTTGGAAATAGATTTCCAAGTTCGTGCCTCCATAGGCACGGCTTTCAAGACAGCATCTACCAACCACGAAAATTAGGAACGGGTTCCACATCTCCCATGGTTGACAAAAAAAAAGACAAAGGAATAATAATAAAATTAGAAGAGAAGTTGAAATAACGAAAGCAGATACGGCAAGGAAGAAAATACTTACGTGTAAAGTTCCATTTCTCAGGAAAAGGAATATTTTATTCACCCACCAAATCGATTGTGGGAACAGCAACAAACCGGGTGTACCAGCCACGGTCGTTATTATCTTCAGGGTTAACCAAAACCTTCTTACTTCTTGCAGATAAGGTAAAAACACCATTGCGGAATAGCTTGGGGTGATAAAGATGAATTAGATGAGGGAAAGAAAAGCCAACATCAGCTTTGGTTGACATATACCTCAAACAAGCTACTGCTCTCCATACGAGGGGACCAACTTGAGCCAAACAAATTTTGAAAAAACGGCAGAAATCAAGTATGACTGGGTCAATAGCAGGAATAAATCCCAAAGTAAAGGGATAAGTGTAAACGAAAGAAAAGCCAACCCTATAAGAAGATATTCTTTAGTGTGGGGTAGGAATAACTATGTGGGTGTCATCTCTCCAACGACAGTCTCTTCGAACAATTTGAATCAAAGGTTCAGTAATTAAAGAGGGATATTTATCAGCTCTCTCTACTTTAATCACTTGGTCACGAAGGGATTCTTTGTCATGTTCGAAAGATAAATCCGTTGGCACAATTTCTTCAACTAGAGGCTCTTGGTTAGACTCAGAAGGTTCTTTGCCCTTAGAAGTGGATCTGTTAGAAAGAGAGCCTCTAGAGATATTGCCAGAACTAGAAGAAGGAGTGATGGAACCAGAGGTACCACCACGAACCGACCCTGTACCACGAAGCACACCTCCTCTACCTCTTCTATGTCTAGCAGGAGCATTGGGGAAACTATCAAGAATTGGGACTCTTTTAGGGTTAGGATTCGAAGACGACATAGTGAGAAGGAATGAACTGAAGAAGAAGTGAACGAGAGTAAATAGCAAAAAATTTGGTAAAAAGCTTGTGAAGAAGAAGACAAAGGAAAAAGGGGGCAAATTTATATATAAACTCAACCGTCGATAATTAAGAAGTGTAATGATGGAAAGCCTATAATAAAGGCAACTATCACTTCGTGAATAGTGGAGCTAAAGAAGCCTTAGAAAAAGGCTGCAAAATCGCAGAACTAATGAGAAGGTGACACGTATATGGTGCATTAAATAGAAGAGACAATTGAAGCGTCGACACTGTCATAGCATTGATTATGGCGAAAATTCCCTTTTTAATGAAGATCCACTTCCCAAATATTTAATTGATAAATAAATGGAAAGTGGGGGGACTATCTGTATTGGGAAAAAACTGAATTTATAATTGAAGGTGACGTGGCATGACACGTGGACTGGTCAAATGGTCAAAACATGATGATCAGTTAAGAGGCACGGGCAATATCAGATACGAGGAGAAGAAAGTTAAATAGGCATGAGATGCTATTCAAATGATACGAGTCTCGTATCTATTTAACTTAATTAAAGCAGGAGGTCAGAAGGAATTGAAGATATGAATCTGATGGCATAAAGAAGTCTAAATTCAGTATTGAATGTCAAATACGTTAGCGAATCAGTATTGAATAGGAATGATTGTGTAACGTTTCATTTAATGTCATTTAATATTCATAATTGCCTCTTTAAGGCTAAGGCATTATACCTTTTCCTAGAAAAATCAACTATAAAAGGAGGAGGTCTCAGCATTTGTAAGGACACGAAATATCATTGAGATTACATTGAAATACAAACTTATTTACTGCTTTATTATCCTCAAAAAATTCTTATTCTTTTCGTCTCCTGATTATCAGTAACCCGATTTTTCCTCTTAATTTCTAGTTTTAATCGAAATTCTATTTTTTGGTTAAATATTTGTATACAATACATAATAGAAAGAAGGAAAAAAAATTGATTCTTTATGTTATGAATATGCCAATATTAAGCCATTCGAGTATTTTGTCGATCTTGATTTCGCCGATGTCAATATTCTATTACTTGATGAAACTTACAGATCTGCCAAATTCTTGAATTTAGGAGAAACTTGGTCCATATAAAACTTATAGATCTGCCAAATTCTTGAATTTAAAAGAATTTTGTTCTAGTTCATGACCCTAAATTCATTTAATAAGTTAATACATTTTTCTTTTGTCAAATGGTAAATGTATTTACATTCATACAACACCAACTGGCAACAATCGATATTAGTTCTCTATCATATACCAATAAATTTAAATTAAAGTTGGATTTTCTGATCCCATCACCTCTAAATGTAATGAGATTTGAATTACTAATAACAAGTACGGAGAATTTTAGGTTAAGAATTTGACAAGATCGAGATACCGTAGCTGGACTCATCCATGTCGATTGCCTTCGCGGTGCAACACTTAATACACGAAAATAAATAATCGATTCATTTTATATGTTTGTATTAGACTGGATACAAGATTTAAGAAAGAAACAGTATTTATATATTTTACACAAAAGTACTCTTAGATTTTAAAAATGCCATGTTATTTTGATTAGAGTGTGATTGAAAATAAAATAGAATGGTCTAACTGAAAAGTTCATAACTCTAAAAAGTTATTAATCTTTTTAAAACGAACTAAAAATGAAAGACTGACATATAAAATGCACGAATATCACCTGTTCTAAGGACCTGTTTATCCATAAGATTATTTTTTTCGAAATTTATTTTCAAAATATTATTTGGTTATACATTAGCTTGAATTTTTGAAGATGAGTTCAAAAAATTTTGAAGATGAGTTTCAAGTTTGACAAAGTGATTTTTACCACCTTTTCAAATAAATAATATTTTCTCTCATAAAATTACAATATTTTCTCAAGCAAAATACATGTAGAAACACAATTTTAATTTTTAAATATCTTTTTCCAACTTAACTTCAAAAACTATTTTTTAAAATAATCTCACAGTTTTATGTCCAAAAGCCTACTAAGTCTGACAACGAACCTTTATATGGAATTTATTTCAAACTAAAAAGGTGTTCATTGATATGGTCAGAGTTGTTGGAAATAAGGAGTAAAAGCATATTGCATATTTAATTTCAAAAGAAATATAATCGAGTCAATACGTGCAGGAGGGAAATATTTATAGCACCTAAAATGTATGAAAATCATATTTTACTCAAATCACAATGGACTGTGATATTCTGACACAACCGAATAAGAGGAAAAACTCGAAAAATAAAAAAGGCGGACTAAAATTTTGTTGACATAGTTTCGTCAGGAAATATTTTTATTATTTGGATTAGCTCCCATAATATGTTGTGTAGGAATTCAGCCAAGAATATTAATCTTAACTCGTTTAGAATTTGATATTTGCTAGTTATTTTAGTTAATGATCAAACATATCACATGAAAATAATGCTTATATTTGTAGAAGGGAAGTCCTAGAGTGATGATAAAAATGTCTCCGCATAATTTATATGTTACTGGTTTAACACATGAAAGCAGTCATTGACGCTCGCATCAGAATAATCTGCCTACGTACCGTACCATACTCTCTCGGAGGACAACCCTTCCCCATATCGCGCATGAACACAGAATACTTCGTGCATCAGGTCTCTTTATGCCTTATGATTTGAAATAAGGCATAGACTTATGCGATTATAAATCATTATACTATAAGTAACATTAAATTTTTAAATATAGAAAAGTATCCCTTTAACATACTCTAAAACGCGTCATATAAATTAGGATTGAGGAAGTAATTATATTTAGGTGTTTTGAATACTTCAAATTGGAGGAAAAAAGTAAATACTCGTGAAAATCATAAATCTATTTCTCTGATCCGATTTTGACATAAATAATACTAGAGTACAAGTCGGTTGTTTTCCATCATATGGCTTACTGGCAACTGGCAAAATAGAAGAATAGCTAGGGGAGACGCCGGCCTAAGCGATAAACAAGAGTACTTTTTCTTGTTTTCAACTACAACTCCCTTAATATAAATTGACAAAACTTGAGAAATTATCGTCTCCGTTTTTTCTCCTAAATCAGCTTTCCAAATGAAGAACAAGTTTTTCCTCTGTTTTCGACCTATTGATGTTGCAGAGGACTCTCTTGTTCGCAACCATGGTGTTGATCATCACTCTTCTTCAAGAAAAAAACATTATAAAGAAAATACAACTGTAAGTCTTTTTGGTTCTTCCGCTTCAGTTTTATTATTATCTTGCTGGAGTTACTCTTTATTGTTACTACTTCTTTTTCATTTGTCTCGAAGGTTAATCAGAAACAAAGGTTATTTGGATCGGCTTTTACGCTAGTAAAATTATTTTGAGCTTTTTTTCAGTGTTTGATAAAGTAAAAAGTAAGTTAAAACTGTTTATCTAAAATCTTTTTATGGTTTAAATTTTGACTAAGGTATCTTCTCTTTAATTTGCAGCGGAAAACAAAAGTTAAGAGAAGGAGTAGTAGAAAAGACAAGTCAATATCAAAAGCAAGCTCTTCATCGTCTGAACTTTCTTATTCAACTTCATCTTTATCATCAACTACATCATCTTCTTCTTCTTCTATAGAAGATGACTTATCAAGATCAAACTCAAACTCATACGAGCAGAAAGAAGCTAAAAATGGTTCAGCTGAATGTGACAAATTAGTCATGAATTTTAGCTCGTTTTGTTTGTATTTTTTTGTTTTCATTTTATTTTGCCTCATCTATATTGGTAGGGTTTATTCAATAGTCGCAACGTCATTAGGGCTTTTAGTTTTCTCCTTATTCGGACGCTGGAAATCGGAAAATCCTATGCCGCAGTTGCCGGAAATATTGAAGTAAGAAAACAGAGAAAGAAATCCCTCTGTACTCAGCATGGTACAACAACGTTTAATTTCTGAGTTTTTTTCAATTAATTGAGTAAGTTTCTTCTAGGTTTTGTACACTATCTTTTGCCGTGAAAATCTCAGGCATCAGAAAAAAGAAGATAAAGGGGTTGAAGACTTCATTTTTGCAGCTGGATAAAATCTGGAATTTTAGATAAACATCAACTCATTTTTAATAGTCTTTGCTTCCTTTCTAGTCGCTCTAAGAAAGAATATTAAATTATTGTCTGAAAAAAAACATTAACATATTTTATGTAGTAAATTTTTATTTAATTCTTAATGACACTGTCATGACATAATTAAGATATAAGATTTAAATAACATATATAATAGGTTATATACATTTTTAGTTTAATATTATATAATTCAAAAGTCTTGTTTACTTTCTCAAATTTAATTTCTAATCAAACTAAGACAAGTAAAATGAGCGGGGAGAATTCAGCGTCTTGTACAAATGCATTTAGGAAATATCTACACCTCTAAGGATGTGATAAGATTGTTAGAATTCCACCAAGCTGAAAATGGAGATAACTTTTCAGTAGAAAGTATTTTATCCCTTTTACATATTTACTTATTGCGAATCTAAATTAATTAAAATAGGAGTATCATCTTCTACGTTGATACATTAAATAAAAGCAAAAGCTAAGCTTTACATAGCTTGTTTCAAAAATGAAAATTTAAAGGAAGAATCTTATCGAAATTATTGCCTCGTCAAACATCATCTTCTACGTTGATACATTAAATAAAAGCAAAAAGCTAAGCTTATCATAAATAATTTGAAAAATGAAAAAATTGAAGGAAGAAGCTTATCAAGATTATTGCTCCGTCAAACTATTGATTGTCGCTATCCCTAAGGTTTACTTTTGGGAGTTGGATGGAGAAGGTAAAGGTTAGATGAGCATTGAATTAATTAAATGTATTCTCATCAATTTCATGATCAGCTCTAATTTCGTGCCACGAGCATCACGCAAAGTGTCAAAACCTTTTCCACAGGAGTAGTATTTTATCAGTTATTTAAAGTTAGGTTATAAAAATAAAAAGGCCTCTCGGGGGTACGAAGTATCCTAACAGGGTCAGGGTCAGGGAAAGAGTCACACTTTGGACGAACATTTAAGACTACACCACAGTTTTTGCACTTTACTTTTCGAGCTTCTTCATTTTCTTCTACCATCTCAAAGTGTTCCCAAACATATGAGCGCACTCTCGAAGTACGGGGCATGATTTAACTTGAAGTCTTGAATTGAGAATTTAAGAACTATAATATCAAGAGAGAATTGAGACTTGAGAGAGAATTAGAGTATTAAGAGAGTGAATTGTGAGAAAAAATGAAGAATAAGGGGGGCTATTTATAGATTTTAAAAGGCTAAAAATGTAATTTTTTAATTATTAGGGGTGGGAGGGCTATATTTTTAATGGGAGAGGCCGAAATGGCCAATTTTTGCAAAATCTGGCCATTCCCCAACGGTCATTTCTCAATTTGACCGTTGGCAACGGTCCAATTAATTTTTAAAAAAAAATTTAAGCAACGGTAACCGAGCTCTAAACGGGCTGCAGCCCGTTAACAACCCGTTAACGGGTCACGGGCTACACAGGTTCGGTGCACCGTTAAGCTGAACGTGTTCATCCCCAACCCGCCCCAGAATCAACCCGTCCCAGCCCGCACAATAAGGAACAGTACCGGCTGACCCGGGTTGAAGCGGGTTGAAAACGGGTCAGCTCGACCCGATTAACACCCTTAATTTGGAGTATGAAGATCAACAAGTCTAGATTTGAATATATACCATTTTTTTGTTTTAATAAAAGATATATATTTAAAAAGTATAATAAGAAATAAGTACGTGCTAGAAATCAAAATTTCCAGATAAAAAAGTTTAAGAAATTGTTTAACTTTTCAAATAAGTAATTATAATATGGAAGGAAGATTAAGAAGAAAAAGGAAAACCACAAACAAGAAAGAAAGTTAATCAAAAAAAATGCCACTTTTTAATCCATCATTAATCTAACTTTCACTTACATGAAGAGGGAGCATACGTGTCATGAATGCAAGTAAGTTTTAAAAGAATAGCTGCATAAATTTGGTTAGCTTGGATTAGACTTTTAAAGATTATTAACTGCCCCTCCACATATTTATCTACCATCGAAAAAAGCCAATCTTCGAAACGCGTGGGTATTTACTTTCTCCTAATTAACTCCTAACTTTTTCTTATTAACTAATTAAAAGGAATTACCCACTATGTATCACTTGTATGGATACAAGTTGTATCCACTAAGAGTGTGTTTGGTATAATGAAAAATATTTTCCGTAAAAAATATTTTCCAAGAAAAAAATCGGGGGAGGGAGGGACAATTGGGGAAGGGGGTTAGCAGGGTGGGTGGTGACGGAAAAGAAAAAAATCGAAATCTAAAAAAAAAGTCTTTTTGGAGAGAGAGGTGGCATAGGGAAGAGAAGGGGGAGGGGGTTGGGGTTAGATGTAAGGGTAGGTGGAGTTTTTGTGAAGTCTTTTCCTAACTTTTTCTAGGGAAATCATTTTCCTCCAATTTCACAAAAATGTGATATTTAGGAAATTATTTTTCAAACTATTTTGTGCAACAAAACAGTAGAAAACGGGAAAATATTTTCCGAAAAATATTTTCCGTCATACTAAACGCTCCCTAAATTTATTTGCGCATCGAATACAATTAAGGCAAAATACAAAAAGACAAAAAAAAAAATAGAATATTCTTGTTAAGAGTCAATCTGAAGACCTCCACTTATTAAATAGATGGTCTAACCAATTGAGCTATGAAAAGTTGTTACTCTCTTGTTTTAATTCAAAACAATTAATCTCTTGTTTCAGTAGTATACTGGATTTGCTGTAAAATTTAAATATAGCTATGAATAGTAACTTTGTAAAAATATGACTACGAATGTTAAATACTGTATATATGTTTGTTGTGTCGCATAATTTTTTCATTAATCAATTTAGCATATTAGTCGTCGCAAATGAATATGCAATCGCATAATATTGCAACAATTAAAAATAAAAAAGAGAAAGCTGTAAAAATCCTTTCCAATATCTTATTGAACAGAAGTATTCAACAAAGATTAACTCCCACTTGAGTGTTTCATTGATTGCTATAATGTGTCTTTTTTTAGTTTCTCTTTTTTGTGTTATGTGATAGTTTATCTACTTATATATTGATTCTTATTGAGCTTAATAGCCTGTTTAGCCAAGCTGAAAAAATTAGCTTATTTTGAGAAGTGTTTTTGGTGAAAAGCGGTTTGTGTTTGGCTAATTAATTTGAAAAGCATTTTTGAGCAGCAATTAGCGTTTGGCCATGCTTTTAAAAATTTCTTCTAAGTGTATTTTTTCCAAAAAGTGCTTTTGGAGATAAACTACTTTTTCTGCTTCTGCTTCTGTAACGACCCGACCGGTCGTTTTGAGTTTTTGCACTTCGATCGCCAGTTCTCGGGCATGACTTGCCTCGTGTTATGTATTATGACTAATGTAGATCGTTGGTTTTGGTTTACAGGAAAATTTGGAATGAATTTGGTAGAACAGTCTCAGTTGAAAGCTTTGAATTTGGAAGGTTTGACCAAGAGTTGACTTATTTGTATATGAGCTCGGATCGAAATTTTTATAATTTGGTTAGCTTCGCTGGGTGATTTGTGACATAGGAACGTGATCGGAATTGGTTTTGGAGGTCCGGTGTAGAATTAGGCTTGAATTGGCAAGGTTAGTATTTTGGCGATTTCCGGTTGATAGGTGAGATTTTGATGCTGTAGCTTCGTTATGTGATTTGTGATGTGTGTGCAAAATTTCAGGTCATTCGGACGTCGTTTGGTTGGATTTTTTATCAAATGCATGTTTCGGAAGTTTTTGGGAAACTTAGGCTTGAATTCGATGTGAATTGATGGTTTTGGTGTTGTTTGAGATGTTTTGGTGATTGGAACAAGTCTGAATGAGGTTTTAGGATGTGTTGGTACTTTTGGTTGAGGTCCCGGGGGCCTCGGGGTGATTTCGGATGGCCATCGGGATGGATTTTGGATTTGTGGGATAGCTGATTGCTGATATCTGGAATTTCCGCATCTGCGGAAAAAGGCCCGCAGGAGCGGCTCCGCAGATGCGGTGAGGGAGTCGCAGGTGCGAATCATGGTCTTGGGAGGACTTCCGCAGAAGCGGATGGTGGTCCGCATATGCGGCATCCGCAGGAGCGGATTTGGATCGCAGAAGCGGACCTGAGCGCAGCAGTGTAATTCCGCAGAAGCGGGAGAAGTACCGCAGAAGCGGTAAAAGTATCGCAGAAGCGGAAATGAGGTCTGGGCAGAAGGGTTTAAAATAACATTTCATCCGCGAACCCAAACCCATTTTCCACCATTTTTGAGCATCTTGGGAGCATTTGAAGAGGGATTCGAAGGTGATTGGCTAGAGGTAAGTTTTATGAGTTAAAAACACGATTATATTGTGGAATTATCCTTGAAATTCTTGAGAATTTAGCTAAATTGAAAGAAACTAGGGCTTGGGATTTTAAGATTTTTAAATTGGAATTTGAGGGGCAAATTGTGGTCCGAATTGAGAGTTTTTGGTATGTACAGACTCGTGGCGAGATAAGGAATCCGATGATGTTAATTTTCTGATTTTTCGAGCAGTGAGCCCGGGGCTCGGATTTTTCAAAATTTGTGGATTTCGATATTTTTCGATTGTTTTCGATTGGGTATTGTTCCATTGGCATATTGTGACGTATTCGTTCTGGTTTTGGATAGATTCGACGCGCGTGGAGGCCGAATTGAGGGGCAAAGGCGTCGCGAGCTAGAGATTTCGCCGGTTCGAGGTGAGTAACGATTGTAAATGATATCCTGAGGGTTTGAAACCCCGGATTGCACACCGTAGTGCTATATTGAGGTGACTTGCACGCCGGATAGCGAGCGTGGGGTAGAGCACCGTTGGGGATTGTGACTTGGTCCGTCCCGATTGATGATTTTACCGCGTATTTTGACTGAAACTTATTTGTTATTATCATGATTTGGGCTTCGTGCCAATTATCTGAACCCTTCGGGGATTTTTATCACTGTTTCCTCACTATTTTGATATACTACTTGAACTCAGTCATGTTGATTATACTGTTTTACAAACTCAGCCGC